TATATATTAATGCATGTCATTGAGATTCGTTTTTCGTACGAAACTAGATTCAACATCCTGTTTTAGGCCAAAAACCGTGAATGATAAACTCGCAATGGAACTGCTGGCCAATGAGGGATTTGCCGTGAACACCAGACGTGGTACCGCTCATATTTTTAGTGTTGAAGCATTGGAACGGTTCCTAAAAGCCAATCAGCTCACCCATTTGGTACGAGCTCACGAAGTGGCGCAAGCCGGCTTTCAAGTGAATTTTCCGCTAATTGTTCCTGTCATATATGTTTATTAATGATTTTTACAGGTTCAGCAAAAAGGCAGACTACTAACGGTGTTCTCGTCATCCAAATATTGCGGAGGTAATAACGATGCGGCCTGTATTATGGCTGATCAAGGAAAACTGCGAATTTTGCGACTCGAAACTGAATAAAGCCTAGAAAACAATTGCCGTGAATAATTTGTTTTCGTGAAACTTTGAAAATGAACAATAAATGATGGTTTTGCTAAACTTAAATTACCTGCCCATGTTGTTGTCAACGTCTAAACCTGTTCGGATTTTGTAAGTAACTTCGACTATGGATTCAATTTATCGATATGGGAGCCTGGTTCAAGCGAACGAAAGCCCGAATCAGCCGCAACCCGAAAATGCAGACACCTTTGATTCGAACAGCAAAAAAGAAGATCCTGAGGCGAACAATTCAGTTAAAAAATCAGACGAATCATTAAACTGTGAGTACCACTTTGCCTACTTCGTATTACGCTTCATTCATGGTTATTCTGTCCATGTTCTCCAGTCTTATTTCATATATCGGATATCGACACGAGCGACACAATCGGTCAGGAGAAATGGTTGAAACAATTCATAAAAAAACGAATGGGAATGTTCGAGAAAATGAGCTCGACGGAATTTGAAGTGCAAGTGAAGAAGATTTGCAACTGTTGCTTGAAGCACATCAAAGACTTGCACGAGCTGCATTTGAAAAGAAGTGCAGGTACATGTAGATTCTGGGCCGATCACGGAAAGCGTTGATGAATATTTTTAGCGATCGCCATGATAAACGACGTTATTACAAGAGCAGACGTAGCATACATTAAAACACACCACGTGGTCCATTTGGTTTGGTCGGTGATGAGTTGCATTCATCATTTTCAACTGAGATTTCGCAGTGGCACCAAATCTCTCATTGCCTGGACTAGAAAGTAACGGCGACCGAAATTACACCGAACATGTTTTAGAGGAACTTTCAAATACAATCCTCTACTCGTTTGCAGGAAAAAGGCTGCTGAATGCATGAACACTTATCGTAGATTGATCAACGTGCTACCAAAGGCCACGTATCGCATAGTCTTGAATTCGCTCATAATTTTCTATAAGGAGGGCAAGTTGTGGACTATCGAGTTCCGCTTAACTGAAATGATATGCGAACTCTTGTACCTCTACAGCGATATAGAAGAAGCTCTCGAGGACATTTTAAGTAAGCGCATTGTACTCTGAAAGTGTCCATTCACTGGGATGCCTTTAAAACAGCTACGGCAGAGCAAGCATCATTAACGTCCGACGTTGAGCCTCGAATGCTAATAAAAGTGCTCTACGAAACGTTGGGAGTGATAAAATGGAGCCACATGTCGGACGCAATGATTAAAAGGTTTCTCGTCATGTTGAGAAAGAGTATTGCTCCGAAACCAGAACACGTTTTCCGTTACGGACCGATGAGAATGGGGCTGAATATTTGCCTTAGAAACATTACGAAAAATTTAAGCAACACAGATCTTATGAGTCTGGTAGCAACGATGGCAGTTGGGAAAAATAATAGTTTGTTAATGCGTTTTTCCTTTGCTTCAGCTGGTAATCATAGTGAAAAAAATAACTTTTCGCGAAATGGAAGACGATGCTTTGTTAGAATTCGGAAGCATCGGGGAATATGCAGCCCTGCGGTATCACACTCAACGATTGAGCGAATCGATTCCCGAAGAACTAATGGAGACAATAATGACTATGATGTTGTCCGAAAATCCGTATCATCACATGTTCGGTTACCGGATTATCCAGAACATTACCGATCGACACTACAACCGGCTAGAGTTCGAAAACCCCAGGTGAATTGAGCACGCAGCTGTTAGGGAATGATTTGACCGTTTGGTTGCAGAATATTCTTCAGAGGAGTAAATTACAATATTAGAGTGGCGAAGTACAGTGCAAGGGACCGGCAATACTACAAAAAACACCGATTGAACATTTACCGCATCTTAATTGCCGGATTGAAACATCATTACAATCGAAAGTACGCAAGTCCTGCGACCGTTTTCTGGCGATGATTTTTTATTCAATTTTAGAATCAACCTCGAAAACATGTACACTTATCTGGCAATTACCTGCGTGGAAATCCCATGTTCATATGTTGCATCCAGTATAGTTTCATTTGCGATGGCGATGCAGGAGTTCGTTCTACAAGCCCACTTAACGAACATGGTGGCCTGCCATCATGTTCATTCCATTGTTATGGCATTGATGTCTTTGGTCTGCTATGTGCACAAAGCAGAGGTACCTACCGCTTAAACAGTATCTACAAGGAAAAATTTCTTTAGGTCATTTCGCGAAGCTTTCTTATCTTTACTCCCCCAAATGAACATTTGGGATACTTTTTAATTGGAAAAATGCCTCCTAGGTGTTCTACAACTATGTTGCTCTAATAATGGAAAGAAGATCTGAATGGGCACCGCACCTAAACCCGCCAATCAAAGTCGTCTACAGTTACGCTCAACATCACATTTTGTGGAACAAGCCCGATTTGTTTTTCGAAGATTGGGAGGCGCGGTACGGGCTTTGGAAGTGTTTTAGAACGGTGTCGAAGAAAACGAACAAAATTTATTACACTAAACCAGGAAAAGTGGCCATTTAAATCCTACCCTTAACTATTCTATGGTATTTTCATATACCTACAACATTGAGCGGCCCGCCTGCCAGGAGGGACAACTACTGATCAGCAAAAGAAACATACAATTGATATATTTCAGAACTATTCAAAATAAATTAACAAATATTACAAAAAACGCAACTTAACTTAAACGTAAAAATCAAAATTCTGTTTGAAAACAAAATTGGAAGTCAAGCTCTCAACAATGGGTGCTACATACTGTAATCTACAAGTCAAAGTAACCATAGAACATCCTCATTGGGCAGGAGCATTTTGTCTATAACCACGTTGAAAAGATTTGGGAGTAGTCAAAGTCAAGTCGATACAAAAAAAGGAAAAATAAATAGTAAGTCAGTAGATTCAAACGTAACACGCTTGCACTTTTTCAATATGGCACAAAACCTAAATTAAGATGCTAACAACTACTTACAGATAACGAATTAATATATGAATCAGTACTTTATATAATAATTCAATTTATCACAGATTTTCATCGTTCAGGTTTCTTTGTTTCTTCGTTCAGCGGCAATGGTGATTCAGTCTTCTCGGTTTCCGTTACTAAATGGCATATATATTGATGGGAACTCCAATCCTTCAACTGAAAGACCAGATTTCTTTCAATTAGTAACAATTGCAACACATTCAAACTGAAAAATCAACATACAGACCGAACAGAATAATATAATAAAACAATGCGATTACCGAATAGAAAGTTGTATGCGCTTAAGACCACACGCAGAAGTGAAAACTTCAACAAGAGAGCCAAGACAGTTATAATTAATCTAATAAAATAAATACAGGGTGATTCAAAATTGGCGTCATTCTTCAAAATATTTTTGTTATTCGCGAGCAACTGCCGATGGTGGGCGCTGCGAAAGGAAAATTGCTCGTTGTCGAGACTTGTTTATTTACTGGAGTTGAAGACATTTATAACCTAAAACAATACTTACAAACTTTTCGATATGTTTCTATTTCTATAAAAGCTTGCAAAAGTTGATTTAAACAAAACGAATCACAATCAGATGTAAACGTCAATGTCAACGAAACAAGTGTCAAATTACTACTCAACTTGTAGTTATAATTGTAGCCACCGGGCAGGGGCGGAGCCAGCTTTAAAGTCAGAGGGGGGGTATGTAGAAAAAATACAGTCTTCTGTTATCTATGAAATTAGAAAAATTATCGTCGTTTGTGCAAGGGTGGCTCAAGATTATTGCAAAATTTCATGTTTTCCGCCCCGTTTTGCATGTTTCTTGGAAGCAAAATGAGCAAGAACGCTAGTTTTTACATCATTCCAGAGATAACTAAATGGCCTTTATTCGAAGTGTCTCAAGAACCATTCGAGCCACAGAATTCGTTTTGGCATCGTCGGATAGAGAATTGAAAAATCGATTCAGTAGTAACAACGTGAGTGAGGAAATTCGAGTAGTTTTGGTTCAGAAAGCGAAATTTGATATCAAACACTTCGGTTCAAGATTATGCCAAAATTTGATGTTTTCCGGCCCGTTTTTGCTCATATCTCAGAGGCAAAATGAGCAAAAACGCTCATTTGTACATCATTCTAGAGAGAAGTAAATGGCCTTTTTAGAAAGTGAACCATCGATAAGCAAATGTTGGC